CAAAGCAGGAAGAGTGTGAAAGAGAGAAGGAGAGAGAGAGTGAGAGAGTGAAACTGGAGGGGGAGGACTGTTGGGAGAGAAGAAAGATGATGAAACACTTTTTGCAGACTAATATTTTCAACAAAACCATACCATTCATCCACATATATCAGTCATCAGAATCTAAACAAATGTTTCTCTCTTTCGTTCTCGGAAAGCCTGCCCTCACTGCCTTCATTCCACAGCTGCCGGCAGGGCTCTCTCATTCATCCATCTTTTCCAAAGTGCTCTCCTTCCCTTCTTCTCGGCCTCTCCCTTCCTCCATCTCGCACTCTCCCTCAGCGCACACTAAACAAATAACGATTGTATTTATCTCTATCATTCTCTCCATTTTCCTTTCCTCTCTCTTGTTTTCTTGCTCCCTTGTTCAATATTTCATGTGGATGAGAGCGTATCTATTCTAAGCTTGCTCTCCGCCGCCTCCCCTTCCTCTCCAGTCGTTTAAAAAAAATCCTTTTCTCTCCACATCATTCTTTCTGTCTACCTCCTTTCCCTCCATTTCTATAAATCTCTCTCTCTCCCGTTTCATCCCTGATGTTCTGCGTCCCATTTTTTGCTCTCCCCCTCTCTCTCTCTCTTTCCGTGACTGGACAATGTCCACTTCATTTATACAAAGAGGTTCTTAGCCAGCGTGCCTTCTCTCTTTTTTTTTTTTGCCATCATTTGGAGTAACATGAATGCATTTCAGTTTTTGCACCTCTTTCAATGTTATTTCCTTCTTCTCTTTGCTGGTGTTACTAATATCTCTCCACCTTCTTCTTGATCTTCTTCCCATCTCTCTCTCACTCACTCTCTCTCATGTGCGCTCTATCTATGTCAGTGTTGTTTTAGGCACAGCAGTGGAAGGTAAACAGTGAGATTGAAAATTCATGTCAGACAGATGAGTGAGAGGAAGGGAGAATGTAAGAGCGAGGGAGGGAAAGAGAATGACAGAAAGAGAGAGAGAGATAGAATATGTGTTAAGGGCCACTTTTGCTTCTTAATTTTGAAACAGAGAAGTTCTCAGATAGAATCGGTCCGTCAAACCCACAAATTGTGAAAGTGCACTTAAAGGAATATTGTGGGCTAAATATTACCTTGAGATATAGAGAACCTGTGTGGAATGCTTTCGATTACCAAAGGACATCTTGACTTGTTCCTTTAGTTGGTTGGAAAAAAAGATATTCAAATTCCTTGAAACATGGTTAAAAATGGATAAAGAAAAAATAAAATGGAAAACTCATTATAGCAATGGACTTACAATGGAAGCAAGCAGCCAAGTGTTCCAGAGAGGTTAAGAGCAGAAATGTGAAGCTTGACATTTTTTAAAGCACTTACAGGAATACTTCAGTGAAGACGGTTTGTTATTTAAGCTTAAAATGATATAATAATAATAACACAAATAATATAAATTATATATCCATTCATCCACCCATCCGTTATACTGGAGTCTATCTATAGCATCTCAGGCCACAGGCAGGGGAAACACCCTGGACATATGGCCAGTCCATCACAGGTCTCTCTCTCACACACACACACACACACACACACACACACACACACACACACACACACACACACACACACACACACACACACACACACACACACACACACACACACACACACAATTATATAAAAAAAAAAGTTAAATGTACACAAGACATTTAATAGCACCCACATAAAATGCAGCTCAATGATAATCACGGTGTTTTTTTGTGTGTGTTTTTTTTTAGCTGGACTACTTTTCTAGGTGGATGAATGCCTGATTATGCAACATAAACAGTGCTTTGTTTCATTACGCCCCTTCCAAATCGTGTATAGTATCCTGTCATAGATACCAAGTAACCAGGTTTACTTTTTAGCTGATCATGACATGAGTTGAATGATTGAGTATATTAGACTAAATTAATGTTAATATGCTAATTTAGTCCCTGCCTCCACTCAGTCACACCAGCTCGGTCTACCGGATCCACTCGGTCAACTGTAGCAAACACTGCACAATGGCAATTGGAAATATTGGTTTAATTCAGCCATATATGCTTGAACTAGAAACTGATTCAAAAGAAGAGGAAGAGCGAATTGTACAGGGTCATCTACAAATCAATGTATCAGAATGGTAATGCTCTCTAGTCTCTACAACGTCAGACACATAACGGTAATAGATGATTAGCCTTTGACTTGACTACATTATCAAACAGCTAATAATGTGTTGTTAATGTTACACAAACCATGTTCCCATTCGCCATCTCAGAGACAGACAGCTGCCTTCTAAAAATAAGCATCTTTAAACACTTTGGTTACATGTTTGTGATGGTAGGAAATGGACGGTTTCAAACCATTTTTTGAGACTACACTGCAGTTTTGAGAAGAAAATACTCAGCAATAGTGTTGACTGATGAATTTGCACATGCATGGTTTGTCTTTAAGTCTTAAAACTGAGATTTTTTTCAAATGTATTCACAGTGCTGCACACTTGCTTTTATCATAGGGCCCGAGCACCGATTGTGTGAGGGCCCTATTGGAATTGCTCTGTTTATGCTAATTGTATTTACTGCAAATGAGCCCCCCCGCCCCCCGCCCCCTTAATATTCTCTGTTGCACAGACCACAGTTGTTGTTCATGTGGAATATTTTTAAATGGCCATTTCACATGTGCTAGATTCCCATGGTGTGATATTTTAAATGAGATTTGGGAATGTGGGCAAATGCAGGCAAATAAAATCTACATTGTTGTACAACAGACTACACAGCTTATTCGATTCTGGCCCAATGTCTCCAGCGTGACGGGGACGCCGCGTCACCTCCCAGTCACAGGCAGAGAACTTCCCGTGTCATAAGGTCAGCCGTATAGCCCGATGTGTTTGTGTTTTAGTTGGATAGTTTATTTCTGAAAGCAAATCAAAGTTAGGCAAGAGCTGAATGTTCTATTAGATTGAAGGCTATGAGTGTGTGGAGATTGGATTTGAGAGCGAGAACCGGCCATGTGACAGATAGAGCCGAGCAGGAACTCCCCGAGCTAAATGTCATAAGGGCCACGGTGTCACGGGGCCTGAAAATGATACACTACCATTTTTCATCATCTGCTCCTGAGACAGAGAGACACAATTGAATTGGGAGGCAGTATTGCAAATGAAAGATGTTTTATGAAAACTGACAATGGCCTGTCATGGTTATATAAAATGGTTTGAATTGTCGTAAATAAAGAAATGCAAAAAAAGAGGATGGAATAGAAAGGATATGTAAATCTCTCACTCTAGGGGGAGTGCACAACTGACTTGCTTGAATATTACAATTTAGGAGCTATTTATGATTGCAAATTTCAAACTCAATTTGCAACATACTTAAAATACATGGAATCTTAGTGTGTGTGTGTGTGTGTGTGTGTGTGAAGGGGATGTTGAAGAGGGAATATTTTCCTCTAGACTTACCGTACCAATTTACATTTTTTAGCTTGAGTCCAAAAACTTGTGTGCTGACAGGGCGAAGGAACGACTGTTGAAAAGAGGAGTGCAATATTTCGTCAATGCCATAGAAACTGTGGCGGAGAGAAGGATGGCAGGCCGATGAGAGTGAGGCACACAAAGAGGTGACAGAGGTAGATCACGAGAGAGTGAACGAACAAAAGAAGGACAGAAATAGACTTCGAAAGAGTCAATGTAGCTTGACACAATGGGTGTAGGGCGAAGACAGGAGGATCTGGCGAATGTGTGTGTGTGTGTGTGTGTGTGTGTATGTGGGTGGGTGGGGGGGTGGGGGGCTATGCTTTACAAATGGGCAGGGAGGAAAGACAGGTGAGAAATAGTAAAAAACAAAAAGAGGGAAAAGACAGAGGGATTCCCCAATGACACCTAATCTCTTCCTCTCTTTCTCACTGTCCTCTCTCCCTCTATTCCCTTCTTTTCTCCCAATAAATCATTTTGACTTCTGCTTAACCAACTCATTCCCAGCAGACGGAAGGCAAACTGCAACTATCCCTGCCCTGAAACCCTCTCCTTCCTCTCGCTCCCTTGCTTTTTCTCATTCTCAAAAAAAAAAAAAAAAAAAAAAAAAAATCAAAAACTATCATGACTATCACCAAGGCAACGTGTCTTACTGTAAGGCATCATGACATCGATGTTCGTGTAGGCTAATAAATATTACATAGCACTTTCCCTCTAAATTTTTTCAGATAGATAGATAGATAGATAGATAGATAGATAGATAGATAGATAGATAGATAGATAGATAGATAGATAGATAGATAGATAGATAGATAGATAGATTATTTGTATGGGTGTACAGGTGTGTGTATAATAAGGCTCACATGGCACATGATCAAGCGAGACTGATGATTACTATCATATGAACATTAACATCAGCTCAACATCCTGTGTGTGGATGAGTAGATCCCATGAGTGAAGGACAGAGATGAGCCAATCCATCAATCCATTCACCCTCCTAAGAGGATTTCCCATAATTATTCCATATTATAAAATACTTACACTGTCTAGAGAGAGAGAGAGAGAGAGAGAGAGAGAGAGAGAGAGAGAGAGAGAGAGAGAGAGAGCAGGTGTGTATAGAAGGATGGAGGTTTGCGGATAATAGGATATAAAGCAGTAAAAGCACTGCACTCTGACAGACAGTAAGAGGATTGTGGTGGTAATTAAAACTGCTCTAGGAACGGTACCCGTCGTAATTGTTTAGTTAGCTTATATAAAATAAAGTTTTTCTCCTCCGTCGCGAAAGAAGCTGTCTGAAAGCATCTCTGAAACTGAAAGACGAGAGCTCAGAGCCAACGGACGCGCGCTTTTGTCCTGGGCAGGAGGCGGAGCTGGTCACGGAACGAGCACAGCCTACCAAACAGCGCGCGCGCTGGTGTGTGTGTGTGTGTGTGTGTGTGTGTGAGAGAGAGAGAGAGAGAGAGAGAGAGAGAGAGAGAGAGAGAGAGAGAGAGAGAGAGAGAGAGAGAGAGAGAGAGAGAGAGAGAGAGAGAGAGAGAGAGAGAGAGAGAGAGAGAGAGAGAGAGAGAGAGAGAGAGAGGATATGGCCAAAGAGAGCGAATAAAACTCGCTCGAGCACTTGTTCGTCACACAATTGTAAGTGTGAAACATCCCGCAGCCGCGCGCAGGATTCTCCACGCGCATCCAACCAGATACGATCTCACGAGCAGCATCAACAAAGAATATAGTTTTACAATCACGGAGCCTCGTTATCTCACGAGTTTCTCCAACGCCACAGGGTGGACATATATCTATTTCCCGCATTTAAACACACACCACCCGGCTGCCTGCATCTCCCAGCTCCGTCCGCGGAGACCCATCAGCGCGCGAACAGTGGTGGTCTCCTGTCGGACCATTGGATTGGGGTTGACGCCATGGGGACAGAGGGAGGGGGTCTTCGCCATGGATTCTGACTTTTTAAACACTTAATATAACATAGATTGCGAAAACCCGTATCTAAGTAGTTGAGCGAGCTGCGCTTTAGGTCGCATCTCTTCCTGTCCTTCTTTACCGAACGGGATGGTTCCAGCGCAGAGTCGCGTGGGGTGAGAAGATCTTGCAAAGACTGGGAAGAAAAGCGAATGATCGAGGGATTATGGCACTCTTCGCGCTCTGTCTTTTTATTCTGACGCTCACCTGCACGAACTTTGACCTCGTGACTGCAGCCAGGCACGCGGTACACTGGAACAGTTCAAACATATCGTAAGTAGCTTTTATCGTCCTTTTTCCACTAATAAGTCCAAATTGATTAGACAATAGATTTGAACAGATTTTTTAATATGTGGGGTTTTTTTTTCAGCCAGGAGAGTAGCTAATGTAAACCAAATGTCGTAATGATCTATTTTGAAACCAGTTTAGAGGTTTACTTATTTGTTGGGATTCCCTTATGGGGCAGGTGCATCAGTAGATCGGGACAAGAGCTTTTGGGGATCTGTTTGTGTGTAATGTGAGTGTTTGTGCATCTCTTTGTATGACCATAATCAATGCAGGTGTATGTTTTGATGCATTTTTGTTTTTTTAAGAAGGAGTGATTGATTTTATTAACCTCTTGATCTTGAAAACAACTAAATGTAGGTTAGGCAGATGTTTGTTGAATAGTAGTGCTTTGTAGTTCCTCAAATTGGTTCAAATTGTTACTCATCTGAGGGTTTTGTTTCATTTGCTTTTAACTAAAGTAATTGACACAAAGCAGCTTTACAGTTTTATGCCTCAAGCTTCGATGGGAGTGTCGAAGTCGGCCAGAAAACATGGAAACGATCATTTGAAACTCTAGATGTACTGACATGACAAGGAGTGACTTCTGCCCCAAATATGACTCTAGTACAGTTACATATCTGATGTACATTATAGAAATATCTTAGGTTTACACCCTTGTCCTCATAGAACCTCTTTCTCTCTCTCCTCCTTGTGTGTTTCTTTCGATCACTTCTCCGTTCACTCACACTCCTGTATGTTTCTCTCAGGGAGTCTCCGTCCCCCCCCCCCCCATCTCCTCCCTCTTTCACACATGGAGCCCAGTGTATAGTCCCCAGTTTCTTTTCATTCCATCTGCTGTAATTAGCGCCACTTTTTCAAAATGACCTCAATATGCCTGCATTGTGACACCATTCAATCTCAGCATCTCTCACTGTCACACACACACACACACACACTCTCAGTCTCTCTTTCTCTCACACTTCATTATTTGACTTTATATTAGAATGACTGGGGTGTTTAGGTCACGGTCTGACTGAACGGTAAATTAGAGCAACGGTGCAGTTATAGATGGGTGTGTTGGTGTATTAGTTTGTCATCTGGCACTACCAGTTTTAAAACCTATGAAACAATGCAGGAATTGGCCTAGTTTACAGGTACTGTTCACACTAATAAGTAGCTTGGGGCAGAATACAAATTTGGCCTAAATCAAAATCAAATTAAACACATGGACGGACCTGCAGCAGCCCACCTGCCTGAGAGCCTCTTATTTACAGGTACTCCTATCTAAATCTCAATCACTCACTCACCCTTCACACATTTTACAGTGATTATATGAAAATCTGGAGCCTGTTTTAAGCCAGGCACACATTGTATGATTTTTATGGTCCTAAAATCGACATTGGACAGCCCTTGGATATTATTTTGCCCCTCTTCGAGTTTCACCCCTATGCAGTTTGGGCCTTTGTATATACAAATATATTATAATTAATATTTTATTCAAAGGACCATATGATTATTATATTGCCACTGTTTTGAATATGGCCATGCCCATGTGACTGACTACGTAATGTCTGTGTTCGTAGGATGACAGATCTCGCACATCCTCCCTGAATTAATTGATTGATGAGCGCTATGAATTGATCCCAGTAGAGCCATGCAAATGCAAACATTTACAGTCTCAGAGGTTTTCAATCAGGGTGCTGGGACCCACTAGGGGGCCTCAGCAAACTTCCAAGAGGGCCGTAGGATTACTTATTCAAATTAATATTATTAATCAATTAAATATACACACTCAAATAATCAGAATAAAAGAGTATACATATTTGGCGTTCTATCCAAGGGGAGGGCTCCGAGCTCGGAATTTGGCCCAAACCCACAGTACTCCCCTACCCATATCCCTTGGCTGCAATAGTAACCAGCCGAGAGTGAGGAGGGATGCAGAAAACTGTCGAGGAACATTGGCGAGTCGGCTATGTATATATATATATATATATATAGGCCTTCTCTTGTGCTGATTGAATTGATCGTTTGAACGTGCTCCTCCCTAACCTTGTTAATAAAACATCCTTGAAAATTTTGTTGGACAATGGAGGTCTTGAGTCAAAAGGGTTGAAAAATGCTGCCCTACGTCAAGAGAAATATTTAACGATCTCCAAAATTTTCCTTCGTGGCCAAACCATACAGTGTGAACGTATTGTATTTGACGTTAATCACACATAATTACTGCGAGGCAAAATATACAGACCTTTTTTAAGAAACGTTTTGAATCTTCTGATTTTGAAGAAAATTCATGGTAAAATGTCCAAGGACAGTCTTACTTATTGGTAACTGGAAGCGATAGTCAAAATATTTAATAAAACAACACGCAATAAGGGCCGTTTTGCACACAACGATATTGCGTGGGCCAGCTTACGCCTTAGGTGTTTAGCTCTACATTATATCTGCCCCACCATGTGCTTTTAGCTTTACAAAGTAAAGTTTTACTGGAGCTTTACTCACTGTGCAGAGAAATGAAAAGTGCCTCTTCCAGCCAGTTTCACCATACAGTGAGAGCTGTCTAACTGCATTAGCATCGGTAGCAGCACGGGGCGGACATGCTACGTGATAAAACCAAATTAAACTGGCTTATTTTCAAGGATTAATTTTAATAAGACTTCTACAGCAAATGCTATTACACACTTCCGGCCCACTGCACAGTAGAAAGTGTGGACATTAACCCCATTTTACTATGAGCTACTGTTTTCCTCATTATTTTTGTGTTCCAGGAAGTGTGTACTTTGTTTTGTTTTTAAAAAAAAAAAGTGTATGGGGAAATTAGCCTGTAAGCTAGCAGCATTATATGTGTAGACTTCCCTCTCTCTCCATTACTGCTCTGCAACACTGATGACACCCTGTTACCTCAGCTTGGCCTAGATATACAGCACAGAGAAAGAGAGAGAGAGAGAGAGACAGATTTAGAGCTGTGATATTTAAGCATTGTATTGCTGAATGTCGAACTATATGCTCGCGCTATATGTCCGCTTATCCTCAGGAGTCAGAGCCTAAATGTAGCACAGCATGCTAATAGCGCTAATAAATGTGGTCAGTGTGCTGCATTTGGGTCTACAGCCAGAGCTGCACAGTCACTCTGTCTCTCCTTGTGGACTACACTGAGCAAGCTAGTATTCTCTGGATAGTGTTTTGACTCGGGGGTGTGATACAGAGCGCGTTGTGTTAGTGTTCTACAACTAAACGTCTTTGTTTTCGAGCAGAGCATGTTTGGTGTAAACAGTAAGCGAGGTGCTGTCGGCTATCAGGTAAAAAACTAAAACAAAGCAACCAGTCCACTGCCTCCTCATTCATCTTCTAAGAGAGTTATAGCTGAGAGTGTACCTTCAGCTCACGTACACACACACACACACACACACACACACACACACACACACACACACACACACACACACACACACACACACACACACACACACACACACACACACACACACACACACACACACACACACTGACAATTACTGAGCGTGGAGTGGGCAGTGATCCTAACGGCCCTACACTCTCGCTCCAGTGATGCGTGTCCAGGAAAAAATACAGAAACCTCTCTGCATAATTAGAAAACAGAGTTGAATAAATGCATATACGAACTGCTGGTTTTCTGTGGCAAACACACATCTGCTGACGAAAGAATTACAGTCACATGAGGGAACACTGTGGTATGTAATGGAGAAAAAGCACTGTAAACACATGTGTAATGTTAGTAGAGCTGAAGTGTGTGTGGACTCCAGGGGCAAACATCTCCGCTCTGTTAGAGCACAATTACAGAACACGAGTAGAAAACACCAGCCTGGACTGAACAAAATGTCTCTAATACTACTGCTGAAAAGCATTAAAATTGCAAATCAGTGTTGGGTGAAACTGTGGGACCTATCAAAGTTTGTTTTTGTGCTAACATCTAACTTAACCATAAGGGTTAAACCAGCTAGAATATAGCTAAGGTAACTTAGCATTTTTCATTTTTGCAGTGCTTTATTGTCAGGAATTATGTAAGATCATTGTGGGAATATTGTACAATGAATTTGATGTAAGGGGGGTGGTTGCAGGTCGATGATTTAAACAGAATTTCATTTTTAATGAAAATGTAATTTTTGGGGCGCAATCTGACAAGAGTCGACTCGCATAATCCCTAAAAAAACAAATTCCGCCTCTAGCATATGCCAAACAAAGTCAATCTTACAGATTTTTTTTTAAAGATACATTTAAAAGTTCTTTAGCTAGTGTTATCATCGCTGTTCTTCGTGCAGGCTACTTTAAGTACGGATACCACAATGGTGTGTGGTCTTTTCAATGTGGAGTTTTATGTAAATTAGACTGATAATAATGAGTTTTAGACAGCGTTTACACAATAATTAATTCACTTACCCGTCGAACAAAAAAATAAGCAACTTGGGCATCACTACTGAATATTTTATCCATCATCAAATCTTTCCACCTTGTTTATGCTGTACAGATGTTTACACTTGTTTTTGTCTTTGTCGCTTTTTCTGTCTTCTGTCTTCAAACCTTTACTGCTTCTTCAGCCATTCAGGTACTGTTTCACCCATTGTCTCCGCTGCTAAAGCTCGATAATAATTGTGTACCATTGTCTAATTTTCATTCTTTGCAACACCAAACTACTCTATAGCGTATCTACTGAAGCGTCAGCCTTCATAAGCATGAGGAGGATTCTCTCAGATGCTTAGTGAAACACAGCGGGTCACGTCATTTCAACATGGTGAACATGGAGACTGACCCACACCTTACATAATTAAAACAGTTTTTGTAGAAAACTAGTATGAGTACACATCTCATGTGGGTGAGTGTACACTATTCAGATGACTAGCTCTTCACAAAAAATGATTTATTTCTAAATGTGTGAAACTTTTTAGAAATAAGCATCTTTAATAGACCTTTAATGTTTTTTTCGTGATGTATTTATTTATATGTAAATCTATATAGAAAGTAATCATGAATGT